GTCGTCTGTTTTCCTTTCCCTTCTTTAAGCCATTTCTTTAGAAAATTACACTTAAACATGAAAAATGACTGACTGATTTCTGGTTTCTTCCATCAAAGTTAACCATTCAAATGTTGACCCTCATCTTATTTACCCTAGTCTTACCCCAAAAAGCAGACACTACAATTAATGGTAAGAAGATGATGATTACATTCATCTGTAAAGGGCTTACACTTAATAAATACATGTAAAAAGGTTATTTTTTCTGGATATCAAACAAGCGTCTTCTCTTTTTTCTCAACACTTGATTAGTTTCCACTGGTTTCACGCTGCTCATTCATCCTCTTTTTTCCTTTCTCCCGCTAGCTGTCTTATTTTCTCTCAGGTGAATTCATTCTCTTTTCTCTCCCTCATTTTAGCTGCTCGCACACACACATGCGCACACACACAGGCTTTTTGTCCTGCTTCTTCTGTTGCTTTACCCCATTACTGAATAGTATTCCTGGAGCCTTTTGTGGAGCCTTGTATAGGCACATGCCGAGTCAAGTTATTTCAGAGAGGTTTCAACGGAATTACCCCCCCAAAATAATCTCCTTTCAACCCCCCCCCAAAAAAAGAGTAGAAAAGGCCGGAAGAATGGACAAGAATAATGTAAAACGAACCGGCACCCTTGACACAGAATAAGCCTGTAGTTCCACACTAGAGGAACATGAGAATGTGAAAAGATCAGAGAGTCTACGTATTAAAGAAGCACAGAGGAATCTGGATATGAATTGTGGATAAAAAGCCGGGATGTAGTGCAGAGTAAAGCCACCTAAACTCAGCTTACCCTGCTTATTACGTGGAAAAAAAAGACACCTTTTTCAGCTGACAGGAATGTGCAGGGCTTATATGTCCCATGCGGAAAATTCAGAGTTTGAATATGTCTTTTAAAAGGAACCATCAAAAGTAGCTTTTTATGAGCTTATTTTCCTATTACTTCAAGGCTTAAACACACGCATTCTAGAACTAATGCATTTTTCAGTATGCATGAAACAAGGCTTAGTCACTGTCAGCACTTACAGCATAATTGATATATTGAGAAATACAGTACTTACCAGCGGAATACCTTTTAAAGAGGCCCTATTGTGTTTTTAGGTTGTTAGGGTGTTCACTTCCCTGTAGTAGGTTATATGATTTGTGTGCATGTAAATGGTCTGCAAAGGTTTAAATCCCCAAATTCCCACCAGAGGGAGCTTTCTTTGTTTTGTATTCCATTTAAAGTATGTCTTTATTCCTACAATTACAAGAATAGTGAGTTATATAATTGTGTCTTTGTCTCTCTTCAAAAGTTTGATTTGAGCAGTTGAACACACCATTTCCCACGCTGTCCTCTCTAAATAAGGGTTTATTGATTAGTCATTCAATTACTGAGAAGTAAAGGCACTTTTTCAATGAAGGGGATTTCCCACTGTAGGAGTAATACAGATGTATCGATAGAACTAGAATCCAAATGAAAATAAATGAAATAATTACAAATCATATTGTGTTTCTATCAGTTAATTGTGTACAGGCGGACGGGCCGTTTGACAGCCGATAATACTTTGATGGTAACGCTTTGCTTTAAGTCCCCCTTATTCAGCATTTATAAGTGGTACACCAACATTTAATAAATAATTCATAGTACACTAAATGTGGTTATATTCATAAATGATAAATTCCACCATGAAGACATATTTTATATAATAATACATGTATTTAATATATAGTCTTTCATATGTATTCACCAGCCTCCACAAATGCATGAAGACATGAATAAACACCTATGCTTCCTAACAGCTACAGTACATCATTGTGTGTTATTACAAACTATTTATTACTCCTGTCCTGAAACATCCTTTATAAATAGGGTGGTTATAGTGTTAAGTGTTTTCCCATAATAAACTCAATGTTTATAGTTGCTCTGATCTATACTCCTATAATCAGAAATATTCATCCGCAAGTTTTTGTTAATATATGAAGTAGTTTTAGTTTACGAGAACATACTGTACATTGATATGCTTAAAACATGTGTGTGTGTGAGAATATATCACATCCATCGGAAAGTGATCGTGTACTCGCATACGTGTATCAACAGCCGCATTTACTACACATGTGTTTCTATACGTGTGTGTGTGTTCATCAATACATATATATATATATATATACCACGTGTGTGAGTGTGTGTCAGTGCCAAGTGTC